TAATTGATGACTAGTCTATTCTTGGGCTATGGTTAGACGTCTATTAAATTTTAACTGACAGCCCAAATTTAGCCTTCTTTTAGCCAAGACGTCTGGGCTGTGTTTAGATGGCTAATAGATGTCTTTTAAACGCAAAATTGCTTGCTGGGATAATACCAATGCCCCGCAGGGAACTCTCACCAGGTGCTGACGAATCCAAATTGATGGTCTATGACAAGGGTGGCGAACGTCGGTCCTGGAGAGCCTCAGCCCTGCAGAGTTTTGCTTCAACCCTAATCAAACACACCTGAACAAGCTAATCAAGGTCTGAAGGGTTACTAAAAAGCTACAGGCAGGTGAGTTTTAATTAGGGTTGGAGCTGAACTCTGCAGGGCTGCGGCTCTCCAGGACCGGAGTTCGCCGCCCCTGGTCTATGATGTTACAGTTTTTTACGATTGTTTACACACTAAAATAAAAATTTCCACACAATTTGCAAAATTCTACTCCAATGAGCAAAACACCTCCACAGATTTGCACAACATTACACGCAATGTCTGCTTCACCATTTTTGCAAAACATTACACACGGTGATTTGTAAAACTCTACACACATTTTCACACCTTAGACACAGATAAGGATTGTGAGGTTACTTCCTTGTCATTACAAAGCCCCGGATTGCCAATGACCACACTAATGAACGAATTGGATAATCACATCCACCAGGTGTGGAAGCACACATGTGCTAATTGGAAAAGCAGCACTCAGGTGTGCTATAAAAGGCAGGAGGTGAGTTCACCTGTTTTCAACAAAAATGGAAGGAGCTAGAAGAAGAAGAAGAAGAAGAAGAAGAAGAAGAAGAAGAAGAAGAAGAAGAAGAAGAAGAAGAAGAAGAAGAAGAAGAAGAAGAAGAAGAAGAAGAAGAAGAATGAGAGGGGGCGCTCAAAGAGGAGATGAAGGAGATAGAGAAAGAGGCTTAGGAAGAGGTAGAGAAGGACTTGAAGAGTTGATAGAACCTGAACAAAGAAGACGAGGACCAAATTCGACTCAAGACAACCGTGCAACACTTATTGACCATGTTATCAACCATAGACTGACACTGATGGAAGCTGGACAAAGAGTTCAACCAAATCTCAGTAGAAATATTGTTGCGTCAGTAGTTCGGACATTTCATCGAGAAAACCGGTAAGCTAACCACACAGTACATTGAAACTGAAGCTTGCTGTACTTATCATCAATATTGTTTACTGTGACATTTGACAGTAGGCTGCATGTGTATTTGTTTAATATATTTTTTTTTTACATAGGATTGAGGGTCGAGGACACCAAGGTGGAAGGGGCCCTATGTTCACTCGTGCACAAGAGGCTGCCATTGTGAACATGGTTTTGACCAATAATTGTATCAGGCTGCGAGAAATCCAAGCCAATATCATCAATGATGACCATATTTTCAATAACATCCAACGAGTCTCTCTGTCAACATTAGGTCGAATTCTCAAGAAAAATCAAATATACATGAAGCAACTGTATCGGGTACCATTTGACAGAAATTCAGAGAGAGTGAAACATCTGCGCAATGAGTATGTGGAGGTATGTATTGTTCATCTTACTATGGTGTGGTATT